TGAAGTGTTATATTCTTTTGGGGGCATCCTATTTTGTTCCTTATTCTTGTTTCTTGAATTGGTACATTTGTTATTTGGCATTTAAGATACTCCTTGGTTTCTTCTTTGTTTTTTTTTTTTGTTTTTTTTTTGTTTGTTTGTTTGTTTGTTTGTTTTGCCACCGTGGCAGCAGCTTTTATCTTTGGACTATGCGTCTGGATTAGTGGAGTGTCTACTTTTTCAGTGAATACTCCAAAACGTGGTGGGTGTGTCCAGGGAGTTCTGTTCAGTGTTCCAGGGTGAAGACAGCATCTAAGGTGACACCCAGGTTTTAGACGTGGTAAATCTCTGTTATTTGTTTTCTTTTTTTAAATTTTTTGACAGGCAGAATTAGACAGTGAAAGACAGAGACAGAGTTATAGACAGTGAGAGAGAAACGGAGAGAAAGGTCTTCCTTCCATTGGTTCACTGCCCTAATGACCACTACAGCTGGCACTGTGCCAATCCAAAGCCAGGAGCCAGGTGCTTCCTCCTGGTCTCCCATGCAGGTGCAGGGACCCAAGCACTTGGGCCATCCTCCACTGCCCTCCCGGGCCACAGCAGAGAGCTGGACTGGAAGAGGAGCAACCACGACTAGTACCTGGCACCCCAACTGGGACTAGAATCTGGGCTGCCGGCGCCACAGGTGGAGGATTAGCCAAGTGAGCCATGGCGCTGGCCCTGTTTTTTTGTTTTCTTATCAGAGAGGAAGTTTGTTCTGCTCTGTTGCATAGACTCAACTTATCTCCTCTCCTCAAAGGAGACCAGTGCCTGGGTGCTAGCCCCAGTGGGTATAATATTCATCCACACTGCCCCAAGGACCACACAAAGGATCTGTGCAATCCTCAGTGTAAGCTCAGATTCCCCAGCAATGTCCCTTACCAGGAAGCCCTGAGAATGTGGAGCCTCCCACAGACTGCCCAAAGTCTCAGCCACACCCTGAGTCCTCCCACATAGCCTCAGTGTTTTCACAGTCCCAGCATACAAACCTCCCACTGCACAAGCACTTAGCCCTCTGTGAATTCTCCCTGCCAGACTCAGGAGTTTCCACTCAGTTGGTTGCTGGATGCAGACTTGAGCTGGTGCAGCTGTTGTGTATGTCCAAAATGGTGTCCGCCATTTCTTACCTTGTTACAGGATGCCATTACAGGGTGAATAGGGAAAGAGAAATGTGCCCCCCCCTTTTCTTCTCTAGTTTGGCAGGTACATTCTCACCCACAGAGTTCCAAGCTGGATTCTCTCCAGGCTCTTCCTGCAGCTTTAATGCCAGTGGGTTGCGCTGCTGCAATCTGGTCTCACCTCACTGTCCAAAGCAGATATGGAGGCTCTCAGCGGCTGGGGTCCTGACTTGTGCACGTCCATGCCTTCCATGTAGGTCCACCATGTCCCTCTAATTTGCGTGGAGTTTCCTCTGCCATTTTCAGTTTAACTCTTCCCTGAGACTGCACTCTATCCCACTTTTTTTAAACTATCTTTTCCTAGACTAGAGCAGTAAGCTCCTTCCTTCTCCCCCATCTTAATCCTTCCCCCTCAACTACATTTCATTTCCAAGACAGATGCCTCCTTTTTTTTTTGGACAGGCAGAGTGGACAGTGAGAGAGAGACAGAAAGAAAGGTCTTCCTTTTGCCGTTGGTTCACCCTCCAATGGCTGCCGCGGCCGGCGCACCACACTGATCCAAAGCCAGCAGCCAGGTGCTTCTCCTGGTCTCCCATGCAGGTGCAGGGCCCAAGCACTTGGGCCATCCTCCACTGCACTCCCGGGTCACAGCAGAGAGCTGGACGGGAAGAGGGGCAACCGGGACAGAATCTGGCGCCCCGACCGGGACTAGAACCCAGTGTGCTGGCGCCGCAGGCGGAGGATTAGCCTAGTGAGCTGAGTGAGCTGCGCCAGCTGCGCACCGGCCACCTTTTTCTTCTTCTGACCTTGGAAAGGCTTCTACCACAACTTTAATTGCATCAGTTCAGAACAAGTTTAACTAAAAAACAAAGGCCTCTGCCACAGCTTAAGCTGACATCCCATATGAGTGCCGTTTTGAGTCCTGGTCACTCCTCTTCCAATCTAGCTCCCTGCTTATGGCCTAAAACTTTTATATCAATGGAAAGATACTACCTGATCTTTGTGTTTGAAAGCTTGCCCTCTTTGTCATTTTAAGAAGTAGAATGTTTCATGTTCACAAACAGGAGGAGACCAGCTGAGGAATGATGAAGGTCTAAGCTAAGACAGTGGTCATAGTGGCTGGAGAAGATGGGCTAGATTTGCAAGGGTTCCAAAGGAGAATTAGTAAACAAAACTGGGGGAAAATTTGGCTGGTGAGTGAGGAAAAAGAAAAAGTTGGAGGTGATTTTTCTGTATCTTAATCTTGGCATGCAGTTAGGACTTGTTTGCCAGGATATAAGAGTACAATATAGAGGAAAAGAGAGATGAAGATAACTTTAGTTTAAAATAATGTGTGTATTTTGGTGTTATTGTGGGTCAACAACACATGCATGTGACAGTTCAGTGAGAGCTGGGTTAGAGATGCAGATAGAAGAATCACAATCTAGTAGGTGGAACTGACCTCCTGTGAATGAATGGCATCTCCCTCAGAAACTTTACAGAAAGATAAGTGGCATCTGTGGGATAATGGAAAAAGAGAAGAGGGCTGTAAGGAAGACTCAGAAGGAAGATCCAGTAAAATATGAGGAAAACCGGAAGAGAATGGCAGGCATCCTGATGGGAGGTGGGGCTGGGCACAGGGGAGTAGGTGTCATGTGAGGTGGTAGTAGAAGTGAAGTAGTAGTTAGGAAATGAGGGAAGACTATGATTTAGGGAAGTGTGAGTAAGGAGGTGGAAAAAATTAATTTGTAGTAGGTAAGGCTACATTCTGACAGTTGCAGGTGCCAAGACTTTTGAATAAAAAGAATTAGATTCAGATCACTTTGTTTCATCTGACAGAGCTGGTAACTGTCTAAGCCACAGGAGAGCTGTGAGAGTTAAGAGAGATGAATATTAAAGTACACAGTAGTTTCTGTTATGATCCTCAGTCTTGATTTCATTTTGGATAATTAAAAATAGTGTGTAGAGAAGGATAAATTTTCACCCAACTATAGTGATAGCTTGAGAATTGAACCTGGGTATCATGAATTTTTTTTTTTAATTTTATTTGATGGGCAAAGTTAGAGAGAGAGAGAGAGAGAGAGAAAGAATATTTTCCAAATGCTGGTTCATTCCCCAAATGGCTGCAATGGCTGGGGCTAGGCCAAGCTGAAGCCAGGGGCCAGGAGCTTCTTCCAGGTCTCCTACATGGATTCAGGGACCCAAGCACTTTGACCATCCTCTGCTGCTTTTTCAGGCTGTTAGCAGGTGGCTGGATCAGAAGTGCAGCAGCCAGGACTTGAACTGGTGCCCATATGGGACGCCAACATCACATTCAATGGCTTAACCCACTATGTCACAACGCCAGCCCCTTATGAAATTCTACTTACTGTGTTCTTTGCATAATATGTCATTTTGTCTTCTTTATTCAGGAAAATACCATTCGTTATTCATCTCATAAACCTTAATCATATTTTTATGTTCAGGAACTAAACCAGTTGTTGAGGATACAATGGTGATTCAAACATTGCTCCTACTTTTAGTAGTCCTATGACCTAGCAGGATAAATGGAGATAAGACAGTTATTCTAAGATAAAGTAGGGATAAGAAGGAGATATATGCAGAGCAGAGAAGAGGCGGGGAGGAGTTAGGAGTGGCTTCAAGGAAGCCCTCCCACAAATGAACCCAAGTGGAAAAGGATGAGAAGTTATACAGAGAGAACAGGAGGTAGAGGAAGGAGTTGGAGGTGATGAATAGAAAGCAAGGGGGCCGGCACTATGATGTAGTGGGTAAACTTGCCACCTGCAGTGCCAGCAGCCCATATGGGTGCCAGTTCGAATCCTGCCTGCTCCACTTCTAATCCAGCTCTCTGCTATGGTCTGGGAAATCAGTAGAAGATGGCTCAAGTGCCTGGGCTCCTGCACCCATGAGGGATCAGCTCAGCTCTGGCTGTTGAAGTGAACCAGTGGATGGAAGACCTCTCTTTCTCTCTTCCCCCTAACCTCATCCCACCTCTGCCTCTTTGTAACTATGCCTTTCAAATAAATAAATAAATCTTTAAAAAAAAGTTAAAGCAAGAGCTAAACCCAGAAGTAACTAAGAACATAGTAGGTACTAAGAGGCATAAGCAACAACATACTACAGAACAACAGATAGGTGGAAGAAGCATGGTGAGATTAGAAGCTGGATGGAAGACCTCTTTCTCTCTGCCTCTCCTTCTCTCTCTGTGTAACTCTGACTTTCAAATAAATAAATAAATCTTTTTTTTTAAAAGAGATTAGAAGCCAAGAGCTAGTTTATGAAGGCTTTGTGTTGGCATTTAAGTGACATTAGATGTTTGTCCTAATGGCCATTAGAGGGTGTCAAATTTTAACTAGGATGCAAATGTCTGTAATTTTATTTCAGAGAGATAATTTTGAGGCCTGAATAAAAGAGACATGGAAGAGAATGTATCATGAAGTAGAAAGACCTACTAGGGGAGGGAGTTTGTTAGCTTGGCAGTGAGTAAGAACATGACAGTAGGCATTAGATGGCTTGTTCAAGAAATATTTAGGAGAGGACATTGGCAGCCTTTGTTGATATGTGTAGAGGGTAAGGTGGGAAGAGGAAGGGATTTCTTAGATTTCTGGTTGGGTGGCTATGTTTGTTGGTGTCACACCACTTGAGAGATTTCGGGGAGCATGATGAGATTATTCTATTTGGTTTTTTCCTAACACAAGAAAGCCTACTATATCAGACGTTTTCATTTTATTCTGTGAATAATTCCATGACAATTTTTTTCCAGTACTATGACACTATAGCTGTTTCATGTCTGAGTTTTTTCTGTAGCTTAAGAGAAGTAAACTTTTGCTCTTAAAATTTCATTTTTTGCCTAAATCTTTTCTGTCTTCCTTTTTTAACCACCAGGAAGAACCTAAGAAAGTCCGCTTTGATTATGACTTATTCTTGCATCTTGAAGGCCATCCACCAGTGAATCACCTCCGCTGTGAAAAGCTAACTTTCAACAACCCCACAGAGGATTTTAGAAGAAAGTTGCTGAAGGCAGGAGGGGTAAGTGGCACTCTCTTGTGAAAAGCCTCCTACAGAAAAGCTAGTTGCTGGAGTGTCAAGAAGTATAAGTAATGTTTTGAGAGAGGTAAAAGAGATAAAGTACCAAATTGGTTTAGCAACAGACTCATGGTTTGAGATGGAGAAAGAGGCAAATAATAATATTTTTTAAAGGTATGAATCTGAGGCCAGCATTGCAGCTCACTAGGCTAATCCTCCACCTTGCGGTGCCAGCACACTGGGTTCTAGTCCCGGTCGGGGCGCCAGATTCTGTCCTGGTTGCCCCTCTTCCAGGCCAGCTCTCTGCTGTGGCCAGGGAGTGCAGTGGAGGATGGCCCAAGTCCTTGGGCCCTGCACCCCATGGGAGACCAGGAGAAGCACCTGGCTCCTGCCATCGGATCAGCGTGGTGCGCCGGCCGCGGCGGCCATTGGAGGGTGAACCAACGGTAAAGGAAGACCTTTCTCTCTGTCTCTCTCTCTCACTGTCCACTCTGCCTGTCAAATAAAAATAAAAATAAAAATAAAAATAAAAATAAATAAAGGTATGAATCAGCACACATTGTTGGTTAGAATGGGCTTGAGGTAGATTTACTTTGACAAAAGCCAAAACAAATAAGCAAAACATTACCTTCAATTTAAAAAAAGAATCATGTATGAAGTTTCTTTTTTTTTTTTTGAAGTGGTAAGTGAGGTAGTAAATTTAAATTTTTTTAAAGATTTATTTTATTTATTTGAAAGAGTTTTTAGCATTCAATATAATTTAAAGATATAATTCTAAGAATATAATGATATTCCCTTCCTCCCTCTCATTCATTCATTCATTTTTGAGATAACATTTTTATTTTTATTTTTAATCTTGAAACTTTTTATTAAAAATTTTAAAAGACATGTAAAAGTTATACATTTTTATGTGTTACTATGTGGTGTTTCATTACACATATACATTGCAAAGTCCAATCATGGTAAATATATTTACCCTTCAAACATTTAACATTTCTTTGTAGTGAAAATATCCAAAGATCTCATCTTTTAGTTTTTTAAATAAAGAAATATATAGTAAATGATCTATCTTCATGCTTCTGTACAACAGAACCTCAGTACTTTTTATTCCTATCTAGTTATAACCCAGTACCTGTCAGTCAGCCTTTCCAAATCCATTCCTCCCCACTTCCTGTTCCAGCCCCTAGAAACCACTACCATATTTTTAACTTCTATAAGATCACCTATTTTATTAGACTTCACATATGAGTGAGACCATGTGATATTTGTCTTTCTGTGCTTGGTTCATTTTACTCAACATAATGACCTCCAGCAAATGGCATGATTCCACCCTTTTTTATGACTAATATATCATTATATATGTATAATATATACATTCTTTATCCATTATTCAGTTGATGGATAATTAGATTGTTTACATTTCTTGTTATTGTAAATAGTGTTGAAGTAAACATGAGAGTGCAGATGACTCTTCAACAGGTGGATTTTTTTTTCTCTTAGATATATCCTCAGTCATGGGATAGCTGGGTCATAAAGTAGTTTAATTTATAGTTTTTTGAGGAACCTCCATACTGTTTTCCACATTGACTTCAGTGAGTACATTCTCATCAACAGTATGCAAAGGTTACCTTTCTTCTACATCTTGGCATGTATTCTCTTAGCCAATCTAACTGGACTGAGGTGATATAACATTTTTAAATTACATTAAATCCAAGAATTTAATGCACCATCAAATAAAAAGCTTAACAAGTAGCAAATTTTAATGAAGAGAAATGTACCCAATATTTCAGATTGGCATCTCAGGAAAGAACTGAGAATCCAGTCTTCATTCAGACTGGAGTTTTTATGGATATGGGAATGGGTCCCTTCCCCAGTGTCTCCTTTCCCCTCACTATCCTACATATTATTTGGAAGATGGTTTTCTGAATGTGAGATTCCTAAAATTCCTCTCAGAACTTCATAACGGATCTAATAGCCCCCTTGATGTAGGGTGGGGAACATTCTCCTAAGCTGACCCTGGGAGAAGGCTGGGATCCATCTAACAAGGTTATTGAACAGGAGCAAGACTTTCAATGTATAAATGCTAGTCTGCTCCCAAGGATTGCCTCCTTATTCCAGTGCACAAAAACTCCCATTTTCTTTGGACCTTCTTACACAAACAGGCAATCTCTGTTTACCTACCTACCTAACCATAACATTCCCCTCTCAAGAGAATGAACCCATATGGAAGTAATGTGGGTGAATATCTGTCTTCTGTGTTTTCTTAATCTGACATATGGGTGTTTAGCTGCTTATGGTTATTCGTTTCTTGCTATCTGTCCTGTGGTGTTCAGAGATGCCCTGGAAAAGATTGTCTTATATGGTCCAAAGGTCCTAACAAGTAAACCAGAAGTCCTGCATCATGACCATCTAGAGCTGGGTAGCTTGTATTCTGTTAGAGACAAAATGAATGAGTATATTACAGATACATGGTCCAAAGAGAACCAGTAAGAGTATGGGAACTACAGGGCCAAGAAGGGACAATGCCAGGATTTCCATGACATTGTATTGGGCCAAAAAATTCAGTCTTGTTCAGCCTGGTCTTGGAGTATTCTGACCCTATCCAAGAAATGGTGAATATGATTTTGTGCCTGTCTAGTTTGATTGACTCAAAAACATTCTTGGAGTATGGCATAGATGCTGCCTTAGGTGGTGGTCAGTACAATGAAGGCTTGCCAGTTTTGAAAGACTGAGTTTAGCAACCCCAGAGCAAGGTCCTTAATCATGGCAGTCTTTAACAGGGAGAAGGCTGTATTTCGTATTTGTACTCTCTATCAAGGGAGAGAGCCCTGTTCTGGTTTACACTTGAGAGCCTGCTACAGGGGCTTTTCTATTTCCTTGCACATGGGGATGCATAACCTGTTAGAAAAATGCCACAGGTGTCTTAAAGTTGTAGGAGCAGGAAATTGGCTGTGTGGCCTGTATCCTCTCTGGAACCAGTCTCTGTTCTCAGAGGTGAGCATGAGCACTAAATAGTTAACTTTCTGACGGACCTAAATAGTTTTCCCTTGGACACCTCATAGCCACATTCTGTTAGGAAGTTAAGGGTGCTAATCAGATGCCCCAAACTGGTGCCTAACATTGGGGATAGACTAGCAAATCATCTTCATTTTAGATTATCTCTCCACTCCCCTCAAGAGATTGGTCCTTTACATTCTCCAAGAGAGCCTGCCCAAATAGGTGCAGAACTGTCCAAGTTACTTGTTACTTTATACCCTGTTTGCTAACCCATTTAAAGGCAAGTATGAACTGACAGGAGGGGCTCTTAGGCTTAGTAATAATCAGGTGGGCTTTAAGACCTGGCCAAGTATGTGTGGGGCTGAGACCTACCTATCGCTTCACATGGAAAAGTGGAAGAAACATTACAAGGGAAGTGCAAAACTCCCTACGTAAGATACTTTATTGACTCCCATTACCTAGTTGGCCTGGGAGGAGAGCTGGCCTGAACAGGAGGCTGCAGAGTAGGCGTAGGCAGCTACTATGTCTAAAACAAGATTCATGGTCCTGTCTTCTATATCATGACCTCAGACCCTGTTCCCTTAGTGGTCAGCTGGGAACCAGGCAGAGTGAAGAGCTTCCTCAGCTCAGTGCTAACAGGAGCTCTGGTTCTGACCTAGGAGCCCTTCAACCCTTGGGGCAGCACCATTTCCAGTGACCCAGTTTTTGGCACAATGGGCAGCTTCACAATAGCTGTTTTCCCAATACCCTGCTTTTCACATTGATTTCAGGTGCTTTCTGGGGGTGGACTGGTCTTGTTAGGCTATTTTGACTAACAGATCACTATGTAAAGTAGCTATCAGCAGGGCCTGACCCTATCCTTATGTTGTTCCTGCTGCCTAACTTGCTCATCTTCCTCCTGGTTTCTGTTCAAGTAGACCACGAGGCAACCTTTAGGAGTACTCAGGCCCATCCCAAATTTTTGAAGCTTTCTTCAGACATCAGGGGTGACCTAAACTAGAAATCTGTACTCACAGGCATGTTCAGATACTGCTTTACCTGTGAGTTAAGACAGTGCCCATGAGTACTGTGTCCTTCCAGGTAAGATCAAATGTGATGACCACCTTACACAATCTGTCTATAAATTTGAGGTCATCACTAAAACTTCCTATCTCCCCTTTAATTTTGTTTGAAAGGGAGAGTTCTTCCCGTTTACTGCACCCACAGGAGAATTGAGCTAGCTGTAAAATCATACTGAAATTGAAGCTCTCATTTTCTGGTCATGATTTTTGGTCCTCTCCTTTATATTGTAGCCAAGAATTGTTACAGAAAAATAATAGTTGTACACTTTTTTAAGGTCTTGGGATCAAACTCTGTGTCCTAGTGGAGAGTCACCTGATATAGTCAGTTTCCCATGTGGAAGAGAATAGAGGAGAAATGAGGCAACAAGTAAGGCCTCCTTGATTGTTGTGCCATGAGTTAGGACAGTGTTTAGAAGAAAAACCGTGTTCTTTTAAGAGTTCAAAGACACTAGTCACCTTTAATATCCCTATAACCATTTATTAAGGTCTTCAGTGAAGCTTCCCATACCCCCCCTTTTTTTTTGACAGGCAGAGTTACAGAGAGAGAGACAGAGAGAATCCCATATCCCTTTTTATCTGATTTCAATCCTGCATTGTAAAGGGAACTCATCCTTAACAGTACATTCCAATGGCTTCTGCAGTCATAGCTGAGAACTGATTCTTCAAGCAAGGGAGAGCAGTTCCCTTGTCAGGAAACAGAGGGAACAGGGACTTTCAGTTGTTTATAGGGGTGCTATTCCATGATGGTCATTCTCTTGGCTTTGCCTCCTAGGGGGCTCTTGGTGGTGGAGTGAGTAAGGCTAGGGAGAGCTGAGTCCAGCTTGCAATATTTACAGAATTCATGATTGTCTCTTAGTTCTGTCAAGGCCTGTACATAGGGGACTTCTGTCTGTTTACTGTGCCCAGGGCAGAATAGATCTAGCTGCAAATTGGTATTATATTTTA